ATTAGACTGGTCTCCTACAACTACCATGTCATATGCAATGACCTCCTCGTTATGAATTTAATGTGGGAAATTCACCTGCTGGCCATGGCTATAATTCAGAGATGCAATGTACTGAGAAAAAATAAGTCGTACTTTGGCAAGGACACTGGCAAGGACGGCCTAGTCCCAGAGCCCCAGGAAGAGGGAGAACTGAAGGGCCGTGTGTCAGCCAACAAGGGGTGCAAGAAGTGATCATAATGGAGAGTCACTTTCAGTAATTTGCATTGTCGCACTGTGACAATGTGAGTGGGGGGTCTATAAAAGTAGAGGCGAAGTTATAGTTGAAGGTGTGAATTCAGAATGTTTCCTTTTAATGTCCTTAATAAACCTGAGGAGAATGTTCAGTGAATTATGCAATCGCATACACGTGGAGAGACCGCAGTGTCATCTACTCAGGACGCTGATGTCATGAACTGTGATCTCTGGGCTCATTCACAGTCCTGCGTTCTGCAGAGCGTAAGTGTAACATAAAGCTTCAGAGGAAGGTGTGGATTAGCGGAGGCAACTGAACGTGCCGTTAAGTCATAGCACTACACCACATTCCATAGATTCCTCCAGGAATTATCTGAAGCTACCATGGGATAATTTACTTATTCATTTGTTATTAGGCCTAAGATGCAAATCTTGAGGGTTTCATATAGCAAAGGAGTTGATCAATGTAATAAGGAAGTTCAATTATGCATCTTCTTCCTTAATGCATGCAATATAAGCATTTAAAATACACTTGTCGGGGCCGGGGAGATAGCCCAGTAGAATAGGCGTTCGCCTGGCAAGCGCAGGGTCCTGAGTTCCATCCCTGGTACCTCAAAAAATAAAAATAAAAAAATAAAATATACGTGCAAAACTTTTGGTATACAGTACAATATCATGAAGTACAATTTTCTGGGTATGAATTCTAAGTCCAGACTTGCCTCTGTACCCAACTGCGGGTTGCACCCCTGACATGCCTCTCCCCACTTGCTCTTTAGGGCCCCCGCAGGCACCGTGCTTCTGCTTCCATGTAAATCACTTTGTTTTACACCCAACAAAGAAGTGAGGTCACACAGTGTCCCTTAACTGTGAACACTAGAGTGCTCCTCTCTCACGTGGCACATCTCCATCCCCTTCCATCTTTTACACTGAGGCGCAGTCGGCCTCCCTTGCTCGGCCTGCTGAAGCTTACGCTCCCTGCCGGAGGCCCCAACGTGCGATTACAAGTGTGTGGCACCTGGCTTAGCTAGCCTTGCTCCATTTGTCCAACTGAAAATGAGTCAGCTAAGTGGCTCTGTGCTGCTACAATAATATACTATAGAATGTGTAATACACTATACATAAAATTCAACATTTTATGTATCTTATATTATATATAATATAATAACATAATCATCACTAGATTCCATCTCTTTGAGAACAATGAGAAATCTTCCTCTGCAAGAGTCCCTACGCCAGGTTGTCTAAATGATGTAAGACATTAAGATGACAAAACTCTGGGGAGGCTTCCCTGAGTGCCTGTCTACAGCGCCTCCCTGAAGGGCCCAGCAGGGCCCACAGCCACCAGGAGGCCTGGAGGCCACAGAACGTGTCCATTTGTGTCAGAATTGTGTTCACAGGATCTCTGCCACTCTCCTGTCTTTCCAGGCTGCATTTTCATGTGACTACGATAATTTGGCCATGAGATATGTTTTGTTCTCACTGGGAAACAGAGGTCCAAGCCTTTGGCACTTCGTTCCATCTCCCACTTTAGCTCCCCAGCTGCGACACATAGAACAGCGCCCGCACGCCTCTGGCAGCTCCCCGTTGTGAGACGCATGGTGAGACACTGTGCGCTCTACACTGCACCCCTGACGCGCCCTTCACCCTGCAAGCTGGCCGTGCAGAGTGCTGTGTGAAGAGCAACGCGTGCAGCAGGGCTGAACACCGGTCCTCGGGACCCCATCTCGCACTCTCGCGGCTGTGGTATCACATGCAGCCCACAAGGGGAAGAATGTTTCTCTCCACGAAGCACTCAAGTGTGTGTGAGAAGTTGCTTAGGGTAGCAGACTCAGAACTGATCTCCTCCATCAGCGACTGTTATTCAGGTCTTGAAACTGCACACCATTCAGTTAAACATTCATACTACAATGGACTCGAACAATGGAAGCCAGGAAATATTCTCTTAGTAATAAGCAGCAGCCAAAGCTTTCTACTGCTAAGCACCTGATGAACACGCCCTCATCTCCTAAGCCTAGAAGAGGCCAAATGCGCAGACATCAGCACCAGGCGGAGGGTGCCCAGGCTCCTCCCCACACAAGGGCTGGTGAGCTGCAGGTGGCAGGCAGTGACAGCAAAGACGAGATCTGCTCTGCCTCTCTGTGCTCTCCTGCCCTCCCTTGCTTGCTATGAAAGACCCTCCGCAGTGCACCCAAGATCTGGGGTCTTGAGGCAAGTGGACCACTCCATCTCCTCCAAGCCAGCTTCGAATAAAATAAATCATAAAAAAGGAAAAAAGAAAAAAAGGGCAGGGCTGATAGCACAGCCAACTAAAGTGCCTGCTTAGGCAGAGCGCAGCTGCCTGGTTCGATCCCCAGCATGCCGTACCAGCCCCACCCCTGGGACATGCTGGGAGGGCAATTGAGACTGGGCATGGTGGTGCCCACCTGTAATCCCAGCTCTTGGGAGGCTGAACACAGGAGAATCACTACGAGTCCGATCTATGTAGTGAGACCCTGTAGACACTCTCTTAAATACAGAAAAAAAATTCTTTTCTCTTTTTAATAAAATAAGTGACTGGCCAGGACATAGTGAGCAGCAAACAAGCCCATGTGAGTTTACGAATCCCAGTGGCCAGTAATGGGCAGGGAGGTGTGGGAGCTGGACAGCAGGAGAACTAAGCTGTTGCACACCTGCCCCGGCCCTGCACGGGGAGCGGAATCCTTGAGTACTCGGAACTTCTACTGCAAAACCTTTAAGGCATTGATGGCAGGTTTCCTGTTTTTCACTGAGAGCCTCTAGTGGATAATAGGAGGCTCCAAACTCAGCTGAGTCATTAGCTAGAAAAACAGGTGAAGAGGATGAAATGCCGTAGGCAGGCAGAGAGCGACCGCAGGAATGGAGAACGAGGAGTTCTTAAAATGTGAGGCAGTCCAGAAGAGGGAGACTTCAGGCTGGCGGCATTGGTGGCAATGAAGAAGTACATGGGCCAGGCCAGCTTCTGGTTACTGCGTCCTCGCGGCACACTGGGCCCTGCTAAGTGCTTGCCGAGCGCTTGGACTGTGGCCCCCAGAAACAGCTGTCTAGTTTTTGTTTCCCTCCAAATTTGAGGGTCCTATGCGTAAGGTAATGGATGATTTTCAATAAGAAGAAATTCCTGGATTTTTCTGGATTTTCACAGTGTTAGCATAAAATTCTTACAATTAGAAATTTCAACTTCACAAGAACCGAGACAAACAAGCCCCACTCTTTTGCTTTGTGTAACATGAGGTTTTGATTAGTTAGCACCCAAGCAAATCCTAAATGCATTGTCATGTCCAGGTAATCTGAGCAAGAGCAGATCTGATGGTCTGGCCATCACTGGCCCCAAGGACACTCCAGGGACTACTACTGTCCTAGTTTGTTGAAGCAGCGCTCTTCCCATGCATTCTAAGTTTCTCTTTTCTTTCTTTTTTCTTTTTCTTTCTTTTTTTCTTTTGTTTGTTTGTGGAACCAGAGATCGAACTCAGGCCCTTGTGCTTGCCAGGGAAGCAGTTATTCCACGGAGCCATCTCCCCGGCCCCTAACTTTTTCTATCTGCTTGCAGATAATGATAATTTTACTGCACTTACTTCTAATACAATGTACTTTTACTCAGAATGAAAAGTAAAAAATACATTGACATTATCAGCCACCATCAGGGCGCTGCAGGCAACCCTGGGACACACCACCAGCAGGACGTTTGGGCCATAAACTGGGTCTGTGTGCTGGAGACATGAGTTTGCCTTGCATCCTACTGCAGGAAATTGCCTAGTAACCACACTGTCAGCTGCTCTGAGCACTGGGGAGAAAGAGAGCAGTTGTGTTCCACAATTTAGACTATGTTATGAGATAAAACGCATAATTTAATCAGAATGTTTAGATACTGTAGTATGGGTTACAGTAAATTTTTATAAAATAATTTTTATTTTATATTTGGTCTAGCTACTACAAATATGTGATGTTATTTTTGTGCTACTTTACCAAACTTCAGAAACCAAAAAGAAAAGAAGAACAGATTTCTAGAAGCAGCATGCTATATAAGAGGTGATTCTAATTTAAGTGAACGTTCACCTCTTAAACCTGATCACAGTCCAAGGCTCACTGCTGCTAATCCCCACAGCAGATTTGCTCGCTTTAAACTCCCTTCTCTGGTCCTGCAGGCCTCTCTTGGCCAGTGTCTTTGATGCTGCCCGCTGCTACCAAGGCAAAAGTTGAAGGTGGGCTCCTGAACACACGGCAGGGTCCCACCCACGCTCTGCATGCAGGCTGTCACAGGGGAATGCCAGCTGTTCACTCACGCCAGAGCAACCAGGACAGACAAACACGTGGAATGGATTCCAGAGGTCGGCATAGCAGGGAGCACAGCGAAGGATGTTCAGCAGGGAGGACTTGCAGGAGCACGTCAGACCAGCTGCTCATGGGAGGGAGGGCCTGAGCGGGACTCATGGCAGTGTGGCTTGGATTCTGATTGCTTTAATTAAATATACAGCAAGCTACTTTTTATTCAGACTCCTACTGTGAAAGATTGATAATATTTCTGCATTTTCCATTCTTATTTCTCCTTTTATTACACTTGACCAAAATTTAAGTCCATTATTTATGTTGGAAAGGTGAGACAAAGAAACATAAACCTTATACAATATAATATCTAATTATTAAATCACACCTTGAACATTTTAAATCTTAAACGTGAACTTTAGTTTCGAAGGCCTCACTATTAAGGATTTGTTTGAGGGGCTATTTATTCCTGAAAATCCAGAGAAAATATTTTTCTATATTTTCTTACAGCAGATTCTCCCCCTCACTCTTCCCAGGGCCCCCAGCACCTCCTTGTTCCTCAGGCTGTAGATCACAGGGTTCAGCATGGGAGTCAGGATGGTGTAGACGACAGCCAGGACCTTGTCCTCCGCTGGAGACCGGAGGGCCTTAGGGCGGAGGTAAGTGTAGGCAAACGGTGCATAGTAGAAAGTCACCACGGTGAGGTGGGTGCTGCAGGTGGCGTAGGCCTTCTTCCTGCCCTCCTGGGAGCTCATGTGGTAGACGGCAAGGAGAACCTTGCCATAGGAAAGCACAATGACCACAAATGGAAGCAGGAGAAAGAGGATGGCACTCAGGAACATGATGTACTCATGGCTGCTGCTGTCTGTGCAGGCCAGAGTGAGCATGGCTGAGACGTCACAGAAGAAGTGGTCGATGGCCCTGGACCTGCAGTAGGGGATGCGGAGGATGTACACTGTGTGAACTGAGGAGTTGACGGCACCCGTTGCCCAAGATGCCAGGATCATCAGCACACACGCTCTCCTGCTCATGCGAATGGGGTAGTGCAGAGGAGAGCAGACGGCCACATAGCGGTCATAGGCCATGGACATCAGGATCAGCCCTTCTGAACCTGCTATAATAAGGAAGAGGAAGCTCTGGAACCCACACCCGATGAAGGAGATGGACTTGTTCCCCGATAGGAACCCAGACACCATCTTGGGCACAGTGGTGCAGACGTAAATGAGGTCCATGAGGGAGAGCTGGCTGAGCAGGAGGTACATGGGCGTGTGGAGGTGGGCGTCCAGGAGGATGAGCAGGACCATGCACAGGTTGCCAGCCAGGGCCATCAGGAAGACGGGGAAGGTGAGCGTGAAGAGGATGAGGCCAGCCCTTGATGGGGGGAAGAGGCCCAGGAGGACGAAGTCAGTCGAGGGCTGCGTGTAATTTTCCATCGGCATCTGTTAAGTTCATCCTAAGCCTGCCTGAAGCACTTCTCCACGGGAGAGAGAGACACTGCCGTCCTCAGCATCCCGGCACTGACTCCTCCGTGAAGCAACCCCTTCCTTCCAGCGTTTCCACACCAGGCTCTAGTAAGTCAGAAAAGGAAAGTCACCTCATATATTATTGTGATACATCATATATATTTATAACTTTTGTACTTTATAATTTTATTTTCAATCATTTTAGAAAGATATTGAAGCAAGAAATATGACATATTTATGATTGGAAAAGATTTGGAATCCGCACTGCGCATTTGCCTGCCCATATTACTGTGTCTTAGACTATCATCCCCGTGACAGCCCATTGTGACACGTCAGCACCGAGAGGGAGTGGAGAACCAGCGGGCCACTCGACGTTCTGTGGGGTGAGGGCAGCGGGTCGTGAGATTCCATCCTTTGAACTCTAGAGCTGTTCAGGTGATTTAATCTGCTTATTTGCAAGAACCTGACAATGTTTGGAATAGAAGAGGATTGGTGCGGTGGCACACACCTGTCATCCCAGCGTTTGGGAGGCTGAAAACAGGAAGATCTCCAGGAGTCCGTACAGTGAGAGCCTGCAGAGCCTGTGCTAGGTCTATAAAGAACTCCTAATCGTGTAAAGTTGACACCGGGAGCAGCATCCTGCAGCACAAGGGCATGTCCTCGGCGTGCTGGCCTGCAGAGCTGTGAGCTACTCAGCTGCGCTTTGGACTTCTCAATCTGACACCCTGCGTCAGCCATTGGATGACAGTTCTGCAATCATGAGAAGCATCGGGACAGGCAGAGAAGGCCCTGATGACGAAGGGGCATTGGAACCCCTGCAAGGTTCCTGGGACACCTCAATTATTTACAATTGGCATCTTTAAATAAAAATACACTTCTCGTTAGACATAGGTACTTCTAGGCATTTCTATTTTAATTTTAATATACTATATTTAAAATGAAAATAATACTATTTTTTTCAAAGAGTCCTTAGTGCAAAACATTCGCTTTGTAGTTTTGTACGCTACATCAGAGTCAGTTTCAGATTCATCCTTACAGCACTCATCGGTTAAGGTGGCCAAAGTAAATATTTATTTTGAGGTGTTTTTATAGAAAACCCCTCTAAAATTATAAACTGCTTCCTCTAGTATTTTTAAAGAACTTTCTCAACTGTTTCAATTTCATATAAAAACTGAACATAAAAATGCACTTAAAGACTGGGCGTGGTGGCGCGCGCCTGTAATCCGAGCACTTGGGAGGCTGTAAACAGGAGTATCACTAGGAGTCCGATCTAGTAGTGGGACCCTATACACCCCTACACCCTGTCCTAAATAGAGAGAGAGAGAGAGAGAGAGAGAGAGAGAGAGAGAGAGAGAGAAGAAAACATACACGCAGAGTGGGCTCGCTCTCCTTTCTCTTGATGGTGCGGCTGGCTGTAGTCTCATGGACACCACATGGACAAAGACAGATTTTCTGGAAATCATCTGTAACTTTTCCTGGGCAGCCCACACACTCGCCACTTATCCCTGTGCTCTTCAGCAGTGACCCCGTGTGAACACCCAGAGGCCGCAGGGTCGTCTTTGTATGTGGTTGGTCAGGAACGTCCACAGGGACTTGGACCTCCGCGGCCAACCTCACAGTGCAGAGGCTGGCCCTGGGCCAGGGCTGAGGAAGGAGCCTTGCCAGATTTTTTTGAGCTGCTCCTAGGCATTCTACGGGCCAACTCAGTGGGGAATTATTCTATTGAGACTCTCCAACATCATTCTATCTCAAAGAATTATGAAAGCACAAGGTTTACATATTTATTACTCACCTAGTGCGTTGGTGGGATGTATCTCCCTGTATTTGCCAGTTTGATTTCACGGGGTGATAACTTCACTACAGCACAATGCACTTGATAAATTTAACATAAGCATGTTGGAAGAAATTATTCAAATGTATGACATTTGAGGTTTTACTTTTAATTTGCTTTATGTGCTCTCTGTGATCGAAATGGTCTCATGTTGAGTATACCTATATATGTATTATATATGAATTCCTTTTGTCCATACCAGGGATTGAACTCAGGATCCTGCGCTCGCCAAGCGGGCACTCATTTACTGAGCTGTCTCCCAAGCCCAAACCCTGTTGGCAGTAACTCTGTCTCAGAAAAATGCACCAATATTAAAATGAGTAGCAAAGGGCTGCCACTTCCACTGTTGCTGGACGCTACGCAGGAAACGTTGCATTTCATTGCAGAAAATAAAACATTAAAAACCGCAATTTCTTTCTCATGATTTCTAACAACTGAACTAATAGGAAGTTTCCTAGGAAGAAATCTTGCTAGCCTGGTATAGGTTTATTTTTTCTAATTTTATTATTTTCATAAAATACATATTTTTATTAATTTTATTGAGAAACAAATAGCAATGGGACAGTTTCAAAACTGATTAATAGGACAGTTTCAATAATTAATACATTGCATATTGTTGACTTCATAGTGATTATTCATAGTAAAAGATATGGACATGTTATCCTGTCCACAAAAACCATTAGTACAAATCTTTCTTCTCATTGAATTAAGAGAAAGTTACTGTATATCTATCCTAACTATTTTGTATATACAGATACAAAATGATCCTTCATTTGTATTCCTTTTTTGTTTAGTTTTGTCAAAAATGAGTATTCCATTGCCATTGAAATGTTGTAGGTGCATGAATTCAGCAAAATATTCCAATGTAGTCCAGTAGTCCATAACAGTAGTGGGTCACCCGCAGGACTGGCAATGTCCGAAGTTGTTGACTTGGGCCCTTTACAGCTCAGCACATTAACATGGCTTTATCATTGCAATACTTGTGGCCGTGCTACCTAATCACGAAGAGCACTTTCCCATGTTCATGCAACCTCCAGCACCACGCAGCTCTAGAGCCCCACGTCACCTACGCCGCAAAGTCCCCCTGTGGCTGGCCAACCCACAAGCTTTGTACTTGACATGGGCAGTGAAGATGGAACACAAAGAAACACGAAATGAGTTAAAATCTGGGGTCTGGGCTCTTACATCCTGTTGTCAAAGATCTCTGAGTGACTGGGGCACCTTGGCATTCAGATGGCAGCAGTGAGGGTGACACAGGATGCGTCTCTCTGCCGCACCTGTGCTACACACCTGGGCAAGCAGCTCTCAGCTGACATTCTCCCTGCGGCGGCGTGTGCACCCATGCTCAGGCGGCCTCTCTCTCGTGATCACAGACGAGGGCAGTTAGGGCTTAACCTGGTCTCTCTCATCACAACATACACAGAAACCCCTACTCTCCCTGCCCCGTAATTCTGTTATCTCTGTTGTTCTGAGTTTGTGAGTTGCTTCCCCTAAGTTTTTTGTACACTTTGAGTCATGTAATATGTATCTGTTTTATTCTGACTTATTGTATGTAGAATGTTGTCCTCAAAGTTCATGCTTAGAGTATATGTCACACTTTTATTCACTTTAAGACCCAATAATATTCTACTAGCTGGACATCACTTACCTATTTTGGTTATCTCCTAGGTCTTGGTGAAGTTTCCAACTTCTGCTTGTCATAAATGGTGCTGTTGTGGACCCTGGCACAGAAACACCCAGGTCAGTGCCCATTTCTATCCTGAGTGACCTGGAGTTTCCTACAAGTATACTTCCGTTCATACCAGGTTGAGGAACTGCAGAACCATTTTACAGCGGCTCACAGCTCTATAAATTATCATCAGTAATGTACCAAGATTCTTCCAACTTGTTGACATCCTTGTCACCCATGCTAAAGCCTGGCATCTCCTCTTCTTTCATTCTTTGTTCTTTTCTTTCATTATTGTGAGGTGTATTTATCTCAATGAAGTTCTGATTTCAATTTTCCCAGTTTCTCATAAGATGACCATGTTCGTGTGCTTGTTGGTCATCTGTGCATCTTCTTCAGAAAGTGTGTGTGTGTGTGTGAGGTCTGGTCAGGCATCCTTTGTTGAGTGATGCTGGACATGAACCTGGAGCTTTACGGATGCTCCACCACCGAGCTACACACAGACAATTCTTCCTTTGATAAAGACTTTGTACTTGCTTTCTAATCACTGTTGCTGTTCAGTGGGGGCAGTTATTTATGTACAGATGACCTTTGTACCTTTTGAGTTTTCCATAGGTTGTCCTTTCCCTCTATTGAAAATGTCACTCTAGGAACTTTTAAAACTTTGACAGAGCACAGCATGTCTAATTTTACCTGCATTTTGGTGTCTTGCCTAAGAGTTCTTTGTTAAAACCTATAAAAAAGATTAGGTGTGAAGACACTATTATGCTCTAAGGTTTTATATCTTTATTAGATTCCAACCTATTTTCACGTAACTTAATATGTGTTTAGAATGGTTCAAATTAAATCATGTAATAGTAATACCCAGTTTCTAGCATATTTGTTAAAACCCTGTGCTTTTTCAATTAAATGGTGTTAGAATCCTTGTAGAAAACAACACGACTGCAGAGGATTTTTCTGGGCTCCACCTTCTGTGCAGGTACCTACCACTTTCTTCATTATCATTGCTTTATTGGTGATTTTGAAAGAGAAACTGTTGTTTTCCTACTTTGGCCATTTTAAAGATAGCTTTTATACTTTGGGTCCCTGCTTTTGCACCCTGCTCAGCCCAGAGCCAGGCACTCACAGCACCAGTTCAGCTCTTCATTGAAGTGCAGTCCCCTTCTGTGATGTGCAGGAGGTGAGATGCCCACTTGGGGTGGGTGCAGGTGCCCGAGAGGGTTTCTATGGGGAAAGTCCCTTCAGCGTCCTCTTCCTTGCTGTCCAATACAATCCAATTTATTGCAGGAGTCAAGACAGGAAATCACTCCAACTCATGTCAATGATGCTGAGGAGCTGAGATCTGAGTCCAAGGGAAGTCTTAGCCTCGAGGGACCCTGCTTGACCCCATGTAGGTGACCACCGACAGGAACTACATCACAAGCTCACTATTCTGAGCAAGACCCAGGGAGCACACACAGCCTTTCCACCCCA